GCAGATCGCATAAATCTTTCGCCTTTTACCTGGGAATCTTTTTAAAAGCCTGATTTCTGGGCCTCATCCTCCACAAATTCTGTTTCTTTGTTATGGGGTGGGGCATTAGTAACAAAGAAACAGAATTTCCGGAGGATGAGGCCCAAAAATCAGGATTTTAAAAGATTCCCAGGTGATTCTAATGTGCAGCCAAGGTTGAGAATCACTGATCTAAAGGGCTTAGCAAAGTGTATAGCACATATGTGCTCAATAACAGTAAGTATAATTAGCAACACTAAAATTTTTTTTTAAATATATTTTATTGATTTTTTACAGAGACGAAGGGAGAGAGATAGAGTTAGAAACATCGATGAGAGAGAAACATCAATCAGCTGCCTCCTGCACATCTCCCACTGGGGATGTGCCCGCAACCCAGGGACATGCCCTTGACCGGAATTGAACCTGGGACCCTTGAGTCCGCAGGCCAATGCTCTATCCACTGAGCCAAACCAGCTTCGGCAGCAATACTAAAATTATCACCTGACTTACAAAGGGGCATGAGGAAACTTTTGGGGTGATGGAATTATTCTGTATCATGATTGTGATTTCAAAACTCACTTTAAAAGGTTGTATTCTGCTACATGTAAATTACACCTCAATAGCCTGATTTTCAAATAATTACTCTTATCCGCAATCATGCCCCTCTTTAATTTCAAGACCTAAAGCTTACCTCTTATAGGAACTCTTTCTTGAATAAATCTAATCCTCACCCATGCTGGGGGGGTGGCGGGGGGAGGTGTTGGTTTGCTTCTACTGTTGTTGTTTTTGCTTTCTGAAGGTCATCAACCCTGTGTGATGCCCACCCACCTCTATCATGTACACTCCACTGTTTCCAGGGGCCTGATTAAAATGTTCAGTGCCTAGGGCACAATCTCTGAGACCTTGACTCCAGGCATATATTTTTTCGTGGGAAGTTGACAAAGCTGGTCTTCACACTGTCAGAATAATTACAGCAAAGTGCTCCGTAGGTAAAGGTAAAGCCGCCCACCACACAGAAATATTAATTTTCCTTGACAACCTTGGTAGCCAAGCAATTAACTGGCAAAATGGAAACGAATGTTACACGCTGAGTCTGATGTGGCAAAAAGTAGAGGCAAAATCGGGTCCCCCAAACTGCTCTTACTTTAAGAACATGAAACTCCATCTTTGTGCTGCTGCTGGACAAGCAAGCTGGGGTGAACCCCGATCTTGGGCAGGGATGTTCCGCACGTTGCATCATCTGACAAAGGCACCCCTAACAGCACATCCATTTTCAGGATGTCTCTCCCTTAAGAAACACATTTCTAGGAATAAAACAACATATACCCCTGCTTAGCACAATCCCCCGTTCCAAAGGCAGCGAGTGACTTAATAATGTCACCATTTCGCTGTCAGGGTACAGGTGCTCCGACTGGCAAAGTAGGTCACTGCATTCACGGGGCAAATGTCAGGACGGCTTGCCAGACGACAAGAGATATATATAACCCTGGGCTGTTTTTATTCTGCTTCTACGAGCCCTACCTCGCCCAGGAGCAGCCTCTGCTGTTTACAGCGTTCCTCTGGGATCTATTAGGAAATTCCCCCGAGCCACTTCCACCTTCAGAACTTAAAATAACCTGCGCTCGCGGTAATGAGCGCCTGACAGACACAGCCTGCCACCCAGCCCCGCAGAGCGGCCGTCACACGGTGCGTGTCTCGGCGGCACTGTGCCTGCTGCCTTCCAGCACGTGCGACTGGCAACGCGAGCCTGTGAGTGTCGAGACCCTGCAAACCCTTCTCCTGCAGGGAGCGCCCCAGAATGGGCCGTTACTTGAGGTGCCCTCCGAACAGACCTCCCCAGACGCCATCCCACCATCCCCACCTCCCACCGACCGCTCCTCCCCCTGCGCCGGCTGTGCACCACCTCCGCCGTCCGTGGTCCC